GCCCCCGCACCCGCGCCGCGCGCCACGCCCCCGCGCCGCCAGCGCGCATGCGCAGTCGTCAGCAACGCCGGCGCGCTCGCGGGCTCTGGCCTCGGCGCCTTCATCGGTGAGTCACCTCCCCCACCCACCCTTCGTCCTCTGCCTTCCTTTCCTTTCCTCTTTGCGCCTCTCCTTTCTCTTTCTAGTCTCCATTCCCATGTCAATTCCTCTCCCCGTTGTCCAACTTTCAATCTATTTTCTCTTTCTTACTTTAATTTCGTCTTTCAATTCTTTTTCTCACTTTTTCTACCGTCGTAAACTCATATTTTTTTTCCTTTATGAACTTCTTTTAAACAGTGCGTATCGAAAAATTAATTCAGGTGAAACAATCAGTCCCATTGATGTTTTTTAAAATATTACAAAATTGTATGCTTGAAATAAGAAAAATGTGTGACAATAACCGGACTATTCCTTTGAATGTGATGCCATCAATATTTTGAATAAATGTCGAGGTTCATAACAAAAGGCCTGAAGTCCAACACTGTTATATTTTTATTTTTTGAGGTAAAGTTGAATCAGAAATCTTCTTTACGACGACACCCACTCAGAGACATGACAAAGCCTGTCATGTTCAAAACAGGAAACAAATTAAACAATTTGTATCAAAGTGTACACATGCCCATCAAATAATCATATATTGATTTCACTGAGAAGGCTTCTACAGCAAATGGAATATTAAGCTGCGAAAACATTAAATTTAATTTTCAAGAAAACATAATTATATGATTGGGTGAGCAATTATTTAATAAAATGTTAATTTAAATTTGAGCTGGAAAAGAAAAGAGAAAATTTGGTTAAAAAGACAAAACCTTGCTTATTCAGATGCCAGAAGTTGCTTTAAAACAAAGAGTAAGCTTAGGAAAGAAGAGATATATTACAAATATTTTGATGAAACAATTCATTACACAATGTGAATTAAGTTAAGATATAAAGTACTTGCAATTATATTGTGAGAAAATGAATAAAATGTTTTATAATTACTTTGTTTAAATATGCCTTCCATGTAATTATTCCATTTTTATTCAAAGGGTCACATGTTCAATTTTCTCATATCAAGCGGAAACTTTGCGTGAGTTACGTGACAAAACGACACTTGCCCTCTAAGTAATTGCAATTTTCTGGAAAACATTTTTGGAATGTAATGAAACTGACGCTGAATTATTCTCCTTTCACAATATTAACAGGCTGTAAAATTACGTTTTCATTTGTTGAAAACCTGTTTTCTTTATTTTCCTAAAAAAAGGGTTCCCGTGATCTCTTTTCTGAACCTGTACAAATTCAATATAATTAACAAACAATAATAATAATAGTAACAATAAATACATCATACTGTTTTTAGTGCTGAATTCGTACCACAAATAGTATATTTACATTGATTTTGGACACAGCTTTTACATTGGTATTACTAGTATATTTATGAAACCATTATTTGTTGTTGAAGCACATTAATTCCAATCCTAATATTGTTCGTATCAGTGAATAAACTGAAGCAAAAATAATTTTAAATACTTTTTTACGCCTTATTTATGTGAAAACAAAATGTTTTCCATTCGCCATTTGATGACTTTCATGATGTAATAGGTCAAGCAATAAAAGCAAACTGACAAGAGATGTATTGCAATTTATAAAATTAAATATATATTATTATATTATTAAATGTGAAGATAAAAATTTTGCCAAAATATTTTATGTCTTACTAATGGGCCTAAATATGTCATATGATCCACAACACCGACTATATGATTCATGTAATGTGTTTACATAGACTACTCATCTTTGCCTTCACATGAATCAGCATTTTGCTGAGTGAAATGGCCCTCTGAAAGGCCGAGTGAATACCTACGTGGCCTGTATAGAATGGCCCTCTGAAAGGGTGTGAAATTATATTAAAAATGTAGTAGTTATTCGTTCTGAATAGTTTTAAACATTTATTCGTATCGATTCTAGGAAAGTGTCGTAACACGTTCTGAGAGAATCAGTAAAGTACATGGTTTCGAAGGTGATTTTGCTTACGAAACAGTTTGCAACATGTTGGGGAGAATCTTGAACATTTAACTTAATTTTATTACAGTGGTTCTAAAGGTTACCGATAAGTCGTCATTCTAGCTTAGAAAATGTTACTTTACTTCAAAACAATTTTCTTTTACAGTCTCGTTTTAATTGTACACGTAAAACAATGTTTCCGAACTTCTAAACCTCTTAACAATTGTTTTTCTTACTTTAAAAATAACTTTTTCACAAATCTTATTAGAACTTTGCTTTTATCTTCCAAACATTACTGTTTCATGAAAGAAAATGACATTTCTTTTTAGTTTCAAATTTCAGTTACAAAGTGTCGTAAACGAATCTGACAAATAGGAAAGATGGTCAGGTAATGTACACCTTCACAAGACTTTTATTTACTGCAATGAGGGTGCATTGTCCTACAAAAGAGCACAGATTTGAATTTCGTGTCTCGTAGTTTTCCCAAATTTCATTAGCACTACAGAATAACACGTTCCCGTCATTATCCACAATTCTATTATGACATAATTTTAAAATGTTTTATGATAATTCCATCTCTACATAAAAATATGCCAGTAAAGCTGATTGTTGCTGATTTTTTGTACAAACTTTTGGCAGAGAACAGTCATTTCATTCTTTCAATTGTTATATTATGCGGTAAATACTAAATAACTCCCTAATAAATAAGACTCAAGAAAACTGAAGAACAATACAATCGTTGTGAAATCAACATAGGATTTATCATTGTGAGTTCCTTTCAGTTAGGATTCAGGGATTTGGGAATATGAAGATTCTATACAATTTCAAATGATTATCAGTTGTATTTACATTGAGAAATCATTACTTCATGAAATCCACTCTGCAAGTGATCAACAAAATTAAAAACAAATTATACCAGCGCGAAACGCCGCAGGCTATTTGACTTGTTAACCCCTTTAGACAGTACTGTTAATGAGAAGGAAACTATCATATATTTTAATATTTGTATTATATTAAAATTCACTTCCTAGTTGATTAATCCACCTCGTTTTCATTTCCCACTTGTTTGATTCATCCAGCACGTTCAGCAATATCCGTCTTTTGCTTGCAACCACACTCATCTGTTCTCAGACAACTAGATTACGTGGATCTGAAGAAGTAGGTTGAAAATATAATCAATTCAATCATACATGTAAGTAAAGAAATAGAAAGTTTCAAATTTGGGAAGATCGAGAGATAAGAGCTGCTCTTATAATTAAAAGAAATACCAATTTTGTCTTACTCGAGGGACAAAAATCGAAGTGATTCCGTAAGAAAATAATGTGTATGATGTAGTACATAATATACATCAATTAGAATGTCACAAAATATAATTTTTATGAATGAAGAAATACTTTCTGAAAATATAAGCAGTCTAATAAAATATAATTCTTTTGTAATGACCAGAAATAAAGTTCATATTCTTGAGCTTACTTTGGAAATTTAAATCTGGTATTTAGCGAGATAAATAGTGAATTTTCTTGAATGGTGAAAAATGGTGCAAGGAAATGTACGCACTACACCATGATAATACGTTAGTACTGAGCAGTAGCTCTCAGTAGAAATCTTCTGAGTAGAAAAATTCGAAACCTTGCGTTGGAATAGGTAGGCAATCTACAACATGCTCATCGGCGACTAATTTCATTCTTCAATAAATTGAGGAACTAGTACGGGGAAAATAATAAAGAAATATCGTGTAAAAGTAATAAACTAAAAAGAAGAAAAGCATAAAATTTGGAATTTAAACTGCAACAAAAGAATTACTTTATGTCAAACAGCCAATGACGCATTACTGAAATTTAATATATAACCATCTGTGAGAGTTACATCATTCTAGAAAACATTTTTTTGTAGAAACCACATTTTTAGTATCCTAAATTATTAATGTAGTATTTAGTGGGATAAAATTACACGTAGAATAGTAGACGCATGGAACTTAAATATATATTTCTGTATTAATATTTATTGTATAATTTTATTTGAGGCCATATTATGTTTATAGAATGAGCAGAAATATCAGACATTTTACTTATCATTTTCTGGAGGTCTTTTTTCTTCACCACAGAAATAATCGACCAATGTGGTTCAATAGGAAGACTACATGATCTACAATCTCTATTGCTCTATTAATTTCCAAGGTTTACTTTCTAACATCTTCCTAAACGTAATTGATGACGGCTTTGTGTACAAGACCCGTTTATTTGCCATTTCCTTCCTCTGCTGGGTCATAATTCATAATAAAGAAATACCTACGTGACAGCAAATATGAGCCACTTGTACTTTGATATGAGTGAAGACGTAAAAAAATACACATTTTCCTTGTTGTATTCATCACATAAGTACTGAAAAATTACACATCAAAAACTACAAGGCTCATTTAGAAGGTTCCACTGAAATCTTTTGTATTCAAATACATTTGTACAAATTTTCATCGAAATGTTATTTATTATTAATAATGCCAACAAATACCCCGACGTTCCCTGAAGAACTTGAAATACCTTTCCAACTTGCACACGTCTTTTATTTATTGATACAATATTAGTGGTAACGGATGATCTGGATAGAAAATGCATTGATATTGCACGAAACAAAATTATTTTTGACTGATTTTTGTATCGCATGTTCACAGACAAGCATGATCTGGTGCTGCGCTTCAATCATGCTCCAACCATCAACTACGAGCATGACGTCGGGACAAAGACGACCATCCGAATAGTAAACTCGCAAGTAGTTTCGAAACCAGAGTTTGACTTCCTAAATTCACCCCTCTATGAAGACGTGGCCTTGTTGGTGTGGGATCCTAGCAACTACTCGGCCACACTGGAAGAGGTATTGTACCAGCAATTAACACAGTACTTCAGTAGTTACTCCCTCTGATTTAGACGGAAGACATTCAATTAAAAACTAGGGTGCAAGTGTTTATGAAAACTTATTTACAATAATCGATAGTTTTATTATGGCTTTAATTAAATTCACGACTCCTGAATAATTAAATCCCTGAATTTTGTCATGGGAAATTGGTCAATGAGGAAAATTTGTAGAACATCATCATTTCGGGACTCTATTAGTCTCGAGCAGTACTCTAGATTACACAACGAATTTTCATAACGTTACTGATTAACTTGTGTTTTCTTACCTCTTACTTTCTGAATTATTTTTAACGAGTACAAAGTATTATAATACTACTTCAACTTATACCCGACTAATTCGACAACCATCTCAAAAATATCTCTTCATCAAACGAAATGAAAGAGGCTGGATGGTGCAAATTTTGAAGATCTGCATTTTTCGAAATTTCAGAAGTTTTACCGAAAAACTGTGAGTTACAATCTTCTATTAACGCATTTTGTTCACTTTGAGTAAAACATTCACAGAAAGAAAGAAAAACGTGCCCGCACTTGAATTCGAACCGCCATTTTACGCATAAAAAGACGATTTTGTCGCTAACACTATCGCGACTGCATGAAAGCGTCCGTTTTTTATGGACACATAGAAGAAATATTTACACACAACTTTTGAGATTTCGAGAAAATTTAAAAGAGATCGTTTGCAGCATTTATATCTACAAAAATGCCTCATGTTTGTTATAGGCAGGTACGCGACCTAGGCTTACTTACATTGTGTTCTAGATGTATTGTAAAAAGCTACCATTACTCTTTTATGAATGCTTACAAAATCGATCTGATGTCTTTCACGAACATAAAAAGAAACGACGTTTGGGGACAATGTGTAGTGTAGAGCCGTGGAATCATGTGTATTTCCTTGCTTGAGTTGCGAATAAGTAGCGTTCAGAGCTCCTGGGGGAGAAGTCACAATAGCAAACCTGAAGAAAGAGCCAACTTGTAGCAAAAATATTAATTGATAGCATATTTAAAAAAACTTGAAGTGAGAATAAACATTATACAGTTATGTTACTGAATATTTAGCAATACCAATGCAATTCCTGAAAACACAAACGGTGGGGAGGGGGCGTATCCCAAAATACATTGCAATATAATTGAAGGAAAATTATATACATTTAACAACTTTAAAACTTAACAACAATACACGCATTTGAAAACATATTACTATCATTTTATGTATGTTTATGTCAAAAGAATTTCAGGTTTAGGGCTATGGCAAGGACATCGTTATTTTCAACATGTTTTGAACTGTAGGCGTTTACACAGAGACACACATGTCCATAATCTGTTTAGAAAAACTCGTTCAATATTCACACTAATATCAATATACGAAAATAGCACACTAAAGTAGGATGTGAACGTGTTTACGGGCAGAGCTGGTTGTGAGAGAACGCTGAAGTTTCTTGGAAGCGATTACGCATGGCAACAGTTTGGAATATTTCGGTAAGCATCCGATATACATTGGAAAACGAAACTATCACTAAGGATTCAGGTAAATAGAGCGGAGCTAAACAATGATAGAGGGAAAAAGTGGGGTTCCGTCGTTGATCCCTTGCTCACATTGGTAAGCGACTGCTAATTACTAGAAAAAATTTACCCTTTTGGAAAAGTGAGAATAATAGGAGATACTTCGAATATTAAAGCTCTGTCAAGAGTTTCGGGTCGTTATTTTCAATACGAAGCGTGACCAAAATGACTAAAAGTGCCTTGTTTGCCTTTTGCGCTGACCGCCTTTTGCGTGCTTGCGTTGCGGGTTGCAGTGGTACGCCAACCCCGACTTCGACCTGTTCACGCCGTACTTCGTGCACCGCGAGCTGCACCCGGAGCGCAACTTCCACGTGCTGGAGCCGCGCTCGCTGTGGGCGCTGTGGGAGTTCATCCAGAGCCACATCCCCGTCCGCATCCGCAAGAACCCGCCCTCCTCGGGCTTCCTCGGTACGTCCGCTGCCCGCGCCGGCAGCCCAATTGCGTACGCGTCACGGCAGCTGAGGCCCGTTCACAAGGCAAACGTAAACATAAGCATGGCGTTTACGTAAAAGTTAGGACTACGTCCATAAGCGGACTCATTTGCAATGCGTTCGCATAAGCATAACACGTAAGACTTAAAAGCTTGCAATCTTCTGTGCTTATGCTTAAGTAAGACAAGAAATGAACCAATCACAGCTCGTTAACTTAAAATAAGAATCGAAAAAGGAGTGAAGTCGATAGACGAACTAACGCCATGGACACAGTCGATACCTCGAAATCGATTCTCACATTCAACCAATAGTAAACTAGAATGCCTCACAGCCAATAGAAACTCTCATTTTGCTTACGTTTATGTTTGACATTGTGAATACTTCAGTCTATCACTTATGTTAATATTTACGTCTATGCGTTATGCTTATGTTTACGTTTGCATTGTGAACGGGCCTACAAGCAATTCGAGACACCGCTGGTCTCTGCACTCTGACAGCGCCGACTCCTTGGCCGATGGGAATACGTGGCGGTGACTTACGACCTGAGAGCGTAGCCTTCCGCGGCCGAAGGCAGAAGCTACTTGGCTGCCGGGACGCCGCGTCCAAGGCAAAGGTGACAACGTTTAGGCCGCCATTTTCGCCTGAGCAAGGTCGCAAAATGGCGGCCGAAACATTGCCACCTGTGCCTTGGACGCGGCGTTTTCCGGTTAGCCAAGTAGCGACTGACGACTTACCATATAACTGACAATATACGAAAGAGAAATACTCCACGTTCAGCGCCAAAAAGGACTTGAAAAGTTGTTACGCAAGTAACCCTATTTTAAAAAGTTAAATATAGCATGTAAATTAATGTCTTTAGGTCGATTCGCCCTAAATAACTTAGATCAGAGAAAATAATGGTAATGAGGTCAAAACGACTGTCATACGTACCTACAGGTGTCTAGAAATAAATTTTACAAACTTCTAGGTATGAAGAGGGATCGAAGATCATTACTTCTTGACAATCATTGAACTTATGGTGGAAAATGTCTCCAAAAATGTTGCGATTCTGACATTTGCACATAACCGGTAGGCAACACATCGTACACAGGTTTTAGGTAGATAAACAAAATATACTTTTTCCAACAGTGCACATGCTTATTATAAAATAAACTTATCTTCGACTCCTTATGCAGTATAGCAGTTTGCAACATGTATTATTTGCGTCCATTATAATTAAAATTGATTAAAATAGGTCTTGACTAAATATATGATAATAAAAAGGCACGGTACACTGTTTATTTTGTAAGTGCAAATTTACATTTAGTTTGTTTATAATGTCTATAAAGTTACTCCCACTATTACATGAACCGACATTCATCTAATGACGTATGATATGATTTAAGACTGATTATGGAAAGAAATCCCCATGCAGAAGATAGTTATGAAATAGAACTAGGAGTTTTCATCACTCGGCTGGCGATGCCAACTGAAGAATAGGGAAGTTCTATTAATTTCTGACAAGAAAGTAAACCGAGTGTGGCTAGAATTTCAATAAGTCCTGTACTGTTCTTAGCTCGGTACGGCACATGACCGAGTGGCCCATCCTCTCGGCCATGGGATAAGGGTTCGTGTAGTTAGCAGCAAGACATCCCTCCATTGACTATACTGGTCTTCTTAACCTTAAGGTGGACACAACAATAGATGCTGGGGCATTTGTAAGGAAAGTGCACAGTTATAATTTTGCCCCGGCCGGGAATCGAACGAGCGGTTGCATCGTGGAAAGCGAGCAAGCTAACCAACGAGCCACAGAAAGAGAAGCATTTCAATATAGCTCTCAAAAATTAACGAATAGTGTTCGAATGCCTACAGATGCCGCACCAGAAAATGCGGAAACTGATTAAAAGAAGATTGTCTCAGACGTCAATTAAATTGCAACCGCCGACTTCCGCACCTGGAGTCAATAGATACTTGACTACGAGGGAGACGTCGTGTCTTGCCAACTCCGGACATCAATGCATCTGGAATGAGTGATGAGGAATCCTGAGGAAGACTGTGAAATGGAGATCCTCAAGGTCACATTACTAGCTAACGGGTAAAGTTCTACCGATGCCAACCTGGAGAAAATTGGCACACTATCGAGCCGCCGACACTAAGACGGCGTACAAAGCTCGCGACAAAGTCGGGTACAAGGTAACATGCGTTAAAGATTGCATTCAATCTCTTCTGATGTCAAGGGAGCGTGAGATCCCTTGCATCTGCGTCCACAGTTACATCGGCGAGACGGTGCGAGGCATTGAAAACGCCTCCGGGTACGCGTTCGCCATTACAAGTATAATAAAAATAAATAAATATAATAAATAAATCCGCCTTAGCCCTCCATGTATGGAAAACTGGCCATGCCATTCTGATATCACACTTTCTAGAAAAGGGAAAACCGTTGTGGGTAGAGAAGGGTAAAAGAAGCGCTGGAAATAATCAAACATCCCCAAAATTTAAATACTGACTATTTGCACTGAAGAAGGTCGCAGTCTGACGACCGAAACATTGGAAATGGTCTCGAGGACGCACCATCTGGACAGCCAAGTACTAATTAAATTGCACTTAAGCAACAAAGCAACTCCCTCTCAGAAACTTTCTCAGACAAATTTTATACGGTTGCATATTCACTCAGAGAATATAAAGAGCAACACAGTACTCGTGGAGTGTCTGTGTTGTAGGTTTGTGGCAGAATTTTCTACGTACAACTGCAGGACGTGGAATAGAACGAATACTCACTCACACTAAGATTGAATATGTACGTGATTCCCCTACCTTAAAGAACGGCCTCTGGTCGAAAGCAGTAGGACCTTTTTTTTCTCGGGAGAGGCTGCCAATGGCATTGCGCATTTCGACTGTTATCTCGAACGCGAGAAGATAGAGCACCACAACATCGTAACTTTGCAGTTCGTGACTTATTAATGCAACACCACCTGACAATTTAATAGATTATTTTACTCATGTGTATAGTTTCAATCCGCACAATAGCTTTTTATTGTAAGATGATTATAAACCAATTTCAGGCGCCTAAAATCGAAAAGTTCACATGTGTTCTTTTCGACATCGTCTTACCGCAGATGACTTTCAATTGTTTTGGAATATTCCTTTCATGATGGAAACTGTAGTAAGCAATATAGCGTCTGAAACAATCAACCAAGAAATATTTTTCGCTATTTTTAACATTACATTCATTCTATTTAATCGATTTATAACTTTTATTCGTGAAATAGTCTAACGGAATTCCGCTCGCCACTTTGCGAACTTCTCAAGAATTTTAAACCACTAGTGAAATTATATACTGATGAAAAGAAGCGCGAAGATATTCAAGAAATTGAAAAGAATTGTAATAAGTAGAAACACATTCATAAATGAACCCTTCTGCTTTCCTGAACAGCTGTGCTACTATTTTTTCTGTGCAGATCAAAATGGCTGCGGTTGCAAGAACTGCGAGTGAGGGTTAAAGAACCTATGGCTACATTGTCACCAGTTGGAATAAGCGGAACTACTACGGTACATTCTTTGCGTTTCACATAAATCACGCATCAAATGCTATAACGAGAGTATTGTTAATTAAATTTTCATTGGTTTTTTTGCACTGTACTCGTTTAAAGTCAAATACCGAAAATACCATCATCTTGTGTAGCATTGCATTTGAGAAACAAATTATAGTGTTATGATCTTCATTGGTAATAAGGCATGTACATAACGTGCATACGCACCAATACAGTACTTACGTCTGTCGGAATCGCTTCACTAAAAATTAAAGCATAAGTAGAATCTTCGTTATAATTGAAGTTCTGGTTTTGTGCAATATTACACCGGGTAATTTTGCCTGTACGTTTGTTTTTGTATATTATACCCTTACATGAAGGTAAAAGGACAATAATCGTGAGTTCTCCGTGGAAGGATAATTATGAAACGATGATATAAGTAGTATTTGCCTGCCGCGTAACTTAACGAATGGAAGCCGTGTGCAGGAAACCATCAGCCGGTAGTTTCGCGCAACGCCGACATTCACCGCAACCGCCTGCGTCACGGGAGCCGGCTTTTTGTGTGATGTGTTATGAACTCCAACATAATGCAGGAGTAAAAACTAGTTTCCAGACCTTCACTAATACCTTTCTTTCTGGGGTTGTACGAGTAAAATTGAATGACGTTTTCCTTGCTTTTTGTGGAAAGATAAGTCGTTGTGTCCAAACAAAATTAAGAATGCAACAATGGGTTACAGTTTTAATTCAAATTATTCGAAAAGTTTATTTGTAAGTTTTATACTGGTATTCTACCCTACAACTAAGAAACCTTAAGGATGTTTCAAAATAATACAAATGTTAGTCCAAACATTAGTCCAAAAATAACTGGCGGTGAAAGCAATTATTACTCATTGAAAATATCCGTCGCTATATTAGTGTTAATAACAATATTGATTGCTCTTTCCTTCAATAAATGTTACTTCCTTATGCATACTCATTCCTGGAATATCCTGAAGAGTACCTACTGTAGTAAATACAGTACCGAACGATTTCCGTTTCCCTCATCGATATATCCGTACGGATGGACATTGTTTTAGATTACTCCGCCAAGCGGATTCAGCTCATTTCATTAAAATGTTTTATTTTTATGAGAATGTTCTTTGAAGTCCCTAAGATGCATTGACATATTAGAAGAACACCGGTAAATGACCTCTTGCTGTAATGCACCTGCCATGAAGCCGAAACAACCACGTAGATCCGGAAATTAAGCTCTTCAACCTTATGTGAAATATATTACGAAAATGTTCGTAGGGTTTAGTCTGTAGTAACTCTCTTCGTTTCTTTCTTCATCAGTCCCAAAAATTGATTTCCACACTTACTCATAAGAATTTATCACATTCATTCACACAAGGGATTTTTCCGCCTCTTTCCACTTCGCTACACTGTCATAGTTGTATGATATCACCGAGCAGCTGTCATGCGAAAATGACTGCAGCTTTTGCGGTCGCCTTTCCCCTTTCCTTCAAAATTACGCATGCCGCCCACCCCTTCCGCTTACTCACGCGCCTCACCGCACGCACCACGCTGCTCTGCGTGAAGAGACAAGTTGATGATCAGGAAGACATTTCCGGCAACACGTGTCTGTTGACTAACAAGGTGTCATTGACACAGATGAACAAAAAAATCGTCCTTGAAATCTACATATTGGTGGCATGTGCAGCTATCTTGATATCACTTATTCGTGCAATGGATCCATACATTATTGCTCCTCATAGCTTAGTTTTTTTAGTTAACCTTTAACGATGTCGATGTGACCTTGAATTTAACGGTATCAGAAGTACAGAATTTATCATAAACAAAAACACCAATATGAAGTAAAAACGAGATGGTGTGGGACATTTCCTCGTTTGAGTATTGCGAATTTGGATATTGTTACAATTTAGAGGAATGTAACAATTTAGACACTAATTATTACAAAGGCTACACAAATGTCAATATTACAAAGGTTTTGTGATCAGAGCTATAGAAAACTCCTGTGGTTCCCACGGATGTGTGTATGCATGGTGATACTTCACCTGTGATTCTATTATTCCCCCTACAATCAGTTGGGTGACTTTGAAAAATTTGACCAGTTTTGCCACTTCATTTAAAATGTAGTATTTATTTTCGTGCCGCGTGCCGGCATGAAAGTGATGAGATTCTTAAGGGGAAATGGGAGCAGACGAGAGCAGCAAACTCCTCATTCTATTTCTCCACCTCCTGTTCGTTAGGCTAAAATGGTAACTTTTACTTTATATTATTTATTTATTATATTATTTATTGTATTTATTTATTATTTATTTATTATTTATTTATTTATTATTTATTTATTATTTATTTATTTATAGTTATTTATTTAGTTATTTATTTATTTATTTTTATTTATTTATTTATTTATTTTATTTATTATTTTTTATTATATTTATTTATTTATTTATTTATTTATTCTTATTTATTTATTAATTTATTTATTTATTTATATTATTTATTTATTTATTATTTATTAGTTTATTTATTTATTTATTTTATTTTATTTATGATTTATTATTATTATTTATTTATTTATTATATTTATTTATTTATTTATTTATTAATTTATATTATTTATTTATTTATTAATTTATTATTTATTTGATATTATTTATTTATTATTAGTTATTTATTATTTATATTTATTTATTTTTTATGTTTACTTTATTTATTTATTTATTTATTTATTTATTTATTTATTTATTTTCTATTTATTATTTATTTATTTATTTATTTACTTTTATTTATTTATTATTTATTATTTATTTATTATTTATATTTATTTTATTTAGTTATTTATTTATTTATTTATTATTTATTTATTTATTATTAATTTATTTATTTATTTATTTTTTATATTTATTTATTTATTATTTATTTAATTTATTATTTATTTATTTATTTTATTGTTATTTTTTATTTATTTATTATTTTATTATTTATATTTATATATTTATTATAATTTATTTATTAGTTTATTTATTTATTTATTTATTTATTTATTTATTTATTTATTTATTTATTTATTTATTTGCACAAATTGCAAGTATCTTTTCACTACCTCTACCAGTACTAAAATGTTGTTACAATATAGCTTTACTTTCTCTTGTTATCAGTAATGGTAATGTACAATGATAATAAAAGTTATGTTTTAAATTATGTACTTAAATTTCAGTTGAAATGTGATACTAGTCTCTCCTCACGAAACTCAGCACACTATGTCTACTTTGTAGAGTCTTCAATAAAGCAAATTTCTCAAAACTAACTCTTCAGGAAATAAAGCAAATGAATCTTAATACGTAAAATTTTTATATCTTATGTTCACAGTTTTTATAAACGGCACAAAAGTTACTTGATATTCATAGGATTTGCAAAATTTTAAAGTTAAAATTTGTATGCTCTGTATTTCCAATATTAAAATTCTTGCAAACTATTCATATATGCTCAAATCAACTTTATGGGAGGTTTAATGTTTCAGACTTAGATATTTTTATTTTATTTTATTACAGAGAACAGCAACATGAGTTATCATTCATCTTAAACATTACATTAGAATAAAGAAGCCAAAACTGTAGCCTACATATAAAAAGAAATATATACTATTTTATATAAGTAGAATACTATTTTATATCATTAGAATAAACAAAAAAAACTTCAAACCTCTTTTAAATATTTTAAAGTCATTTTTTTAACGAAGAAAAAAATGCCTTCTATTTACCATTCTTCTTAACAATTTTACTCTGATTATGTAAAAATAAAACATTTTGAGCATAGAAAAGAGAGTAGCTTTTCTACCAGTTTCTCTAATGTTTTGAATACTTCTCAAACACTCTACTGTGAAAATGGTATACTAATAAACAAATGAAATTATTTCAGCAATAATTTGCTAACCTTTAAACGCACCAAGATATTGCATTCCTCTTTTGACTATACTATTATAATGGATCTAAACCTCCTCATGGGACTGTGGCAAATAAATACTCTGATCTTAATTTCACATAAATATGCACTTCACACTTACTCTTGACATACTGTACATAGTAAATATGTGAAAGAAGCTAATTTTTTGAATACATAAAAATTATGGAAATTAATACAGAAAAATAAAATGCAAATGAAAGACTTTCATTTAATAATTATTTATGAATTAAGACCCAAATGTAACTTATGTAGTACATTTTGGAAGAATGGTTTACCACTGCAGTTGAGCACAGTAGAGCCAAGAGAGTGAGAGTAATCGACATTAAAAATTTTGAAATGCTAGTCAATTGCATCAGTGAAATATGTTGCAGAGAATATAGAAAAATGTTCAGTGATCTGCCAACTTCCTCTCTGTCTCAAAATTAGGAGACTGATCAAGAAACACAAAAATGATTAGTTCATATCTATTAGAGTGAATTTGGCACCAAAATATATATTTACATATGACTCTTTTCATTATGCTGAACATGTAGGCTACTCAATTCTCTGCCATTTATAAAAATTGTTTTCATTAATAAATATCTAAAAAAGTGATTTTTTTATATTTTCATTGTATCAATAGTTTTGAATATTGTAGTTGTTTGACTTCCAGTTTCTAGATTTTTAATTTTCTCTCTATGCTGTTCCATTTGAATTTATATGTATATGTGAATTACGTATAAATATTCACACATATGTATATTTATACATATGTGTGAATTATAATAATAAAAAAACAAATTGAGCACTACTTTTTCCACTTCCCATGCCTATTTTATCAATTCATTATAAATTCTTGATCATTTACTTTCACAAATTTTTACTAAGATTATGTATACTATTGATGTTTACTATGGCTTCTTGAGTTTTCTGGCTTGGGTGTCACTGTTTGATTTTGTGAGATTTTTCTCAATATTACCTCATAATTTTAGTGCTTATAATTTTTGAAAAATTTATACTGAGATATTTAAAATTCACAGTACTTTGAGTCCAGTAAATTCTCAGAATTCACTTCATAATCCTGTAAATTACCACAAACCTTTTCACATTACTCAATTTATTGTTGGCCATTTTCCTTTCCCAATGAAATAATTCTTCTTTGTGTATAAAAGGGAAAAAAATATTTTCTTTAAAAATGTTTTGGTGGTATAATTAAATAAAAATAATCATATTGAAAAATAAGAGTTCAAAATTTTGTTTCAGGGCTGGCGCTGCTTTTACCACATTGTGCTTATGTGGATCTCTTTGAATATGTGCCCTCCATGCGTCTAACAAAGCGTTGTCATTATTGGGAGGCAGCTGAAGATTTATCCTGCACTTTTGGTGTTTGGCATCCCTTGGCTGCAGAGAAACTGCTTGCTTTAGCTCTTAATGTGGCTAACGACCAGACAGTATATACAACTGGTTATATACGTGTGTTAGGTTATGACACGTTGAGATGTTGATATTATATCATGCCATTGTCTCATGCCTTTAATTTGAAAATGAGAGCAGAAATAAGTCTTTATAAATGAACAGTCAAATGTGCCAAAACTAGAATATTATGTTTATTTTAAAATGGAGAGTGAACTCATATTACATCACAAAACTAATGGCTTTTCAGACATATGAATGATCAGAACTACTTTACACCCGATAAAATTCATACTGAAATTTGATTTTGAAAACTAAAACTGTATTATATCTATACTTCTTCTAATATACTATATACTATAATAATTTTTATGAAATAATATAATAATTTACTTGGCTTTCACATTTTTCATTATAACATATTAGCAATTTTTCTTCCCTTCAGAAGGGGTGCATGCTATTCATATAAAATATTATTAAAAATAACATCAAAGAGTGAACACAAAAAGTATTAATGAAATTTAAGCTAAAGGTTTGGCAAGTGTTTACTCTTTCATTCACAATCAAACTTATATTATCTTCAAACATACCTAAAGTTTAAAAATGTGAATTAAAACATTCAGATGAAAAAATCATTATATAAAAAAAATTCCTATTATTAACAAATTAAAATAAATGAGTTGTGATCATTCATTTTTTATTTGGCAATTTGTGTATTTGGATTTGTTCAGTATTCTCAATGTCTATGCTAAATATCTTTTACATCTTTTAAAAAAATTCAAAAAATTGTTTGATATTCTCTTCCATTTTTCTTCTGAAAATTGTAATTAACTTCTAATGGAGTTTGTATTTTTTATTCAGAATATTCATAAAACAAATGGAAATATTGAATATTTTGTTACAAGTAGATAATGAGCTTTTTCGGTAATATAACAGATGTGCAAAAATAAACTTGAACAGTAAATTTTAAATTTGTTCAAGGAAGTGGCAGATGTTATTTTGAACACTACAGTAGAACGTGTGTTTTCTCCAATGTGTGTCGAAATGGTCAATCAGTTTATCATTTCCCAAGACAAAATCACAGTGTGATATTACTTCCAGGAACACAATTTGATGTAGAATGTACCTGTGTTTGACCATGCTGAATATGTCTGTATTGCATGGAAAAACAATACATCAGGAACTTTTTAGCAGTGTTGTCATTAGTCAGTATCCTTTACAGTGAAATTCAGTGGAATACAGAAAATGTGAAAATAACTGAATGAGATCTAGCTGCTTTGTAAGAATATTGTAATGCATTGAATAACTTTCATAAATGAACTGTTTTACTGATGGGATTCTCTTTTTCTCATGATATTACCCTCTTCACATTGATCTTTCTAATTGTTGTTAGCATTTTGGCAGACATCATGCAGTATTTAATAACTTACATATTGAAGCCATAGATTTGGGCAATAATTATTAGATTTTTAATATATTTTTAATTTTATAATGTATGAACAATATGAAAAATTTAACAATTTGAATAAGTAACCAGCTACGCACATAAATGAAATGAATAAACTCATTCATGATGAATGGTTTTATAACAGGAAACAACAGTAAATTTGCCATACATTCCCGTTAAAAAGAAAATTAAAAACAGAATCAGTATCTATTTGCAAAGATAATTTTCCATTAAGTACCACTAAATATTACAGCCCTGTCAATATCTCAGTACAGAATTTATACAATAATTAACTATTTTTTTGACTTTTAATTAACTGAAACATTTACTATTATCCTAATTTTTTTCTTGTCTGATATATGCACACCTACATTTTCTTGAAGGAAAATAACGTAGTTCTTTTTAATTTGACAATTCCTTCTTTGATGTGAAACAATACCAGAGTGATGTTTTTCTAATTAAATGAGGGACTGAAAGAAGCCACATCTTGTTAAAATCATAAAGTACATTTGAAGAAAAAGAGATCTGTTAAATGTCCTTTTTTGTAAAAGTGAAAATTGTCATGAAGATAAGCAAATGAATTTGAGAAATCTTCATGTCTAACATTTGCCAGAAAGTAATTTGCTTAATGTTTCCTTTAGGTTGATAGCTTTTCACCAAGGTGATACTTTATTGCAATGCACAACTGAGGTCAGACTATGTAGTCAGACTTGTAGTTCTTTCATAAAAAACATTCTTCATGAGAAGTTTTTTTCAGACATCTTTAGTGCTATGGATTCTCAATAGCGTGTCTTCAAGAACTTTGATTCTTTGATGTATTGAGTTTTCTTTCTTCCCCTTCGTATTATTTTTATAATTCAAATTTTATAGAGTTGAAATATTCAAATTCTTTTTTCTCCTTTTCACATTCAAATTACTGAGGTTTCACTGTAAGCGATATTTACAAGTCAATTTTCAGGTTCAGGAAAATAAATCTGAATTCTCTGGCATAACCTACTGTTACTATTTTTCTATAAGTTTGAACGTAATTTTATGAAAAAATGCAACAATTTTTTAATAGCAAAAATGTATAACTTCAGAAATATGACTTATCATCATTGTTTAAGATTTATTGAGAGATATGCATTGAAAGAAAAAGTTATTAAAGCAAAAGCCTCTTATTTAAGAATTTCTTAGAAGTTGAATCTAAAGTTATTTAGAGTAATTTATGATGGAGTCGTATCAACTTAAGAGGCAAGAAGCAGAAATGTTATTGTTCAATAATTTTAAAAGACACTATCTTAATATTGTAATTATATATCCTAAAAAATATCAGTTGATTTTATTTGTTTCAATTATCTTGAAAGTGAAAGATATTTATACCATTAATTGCTATTTCAATTCTATTCAACATTTTGCTCTTCTTTCTCTATATTTATCCTTATTTGTGACATGTGTCTGATGTAAGATTTTATGTATTTTAGATATGTGTTTGAAGTAAGAAAGGTCATCAAGAAAGTATTAAAGAGTTATAAGTTTGGAAATGTGATTTTCTAAAAATATTAACTGATTTTAATTTTTAATTCACTGAAGTCTCACCGTAGATGCAACTAAAATTTGAGAGTCTATAATAGCCCATTATGATTTTGATCAATCCAAATTTCTAACTATTGGTAATTTCTAATTGGTAATTTACAAATATGTTTTTTTTTTCATATTATTATAAGTATTAAAAACACCTCCATGAACAACTCCAACATAAGACAAATTTACTTATAATTATTTTATCTACAGGAGTCTGTCTAGATATTTATACAGAAAATTCACTTTTACTTCACTCTCGATACCTATGCACAGTTTGACCTCTCTCTATAATTACTGTAAAGGTATAGTATATGCTAGGAAGATCCTAAATCCCAGGCAAGGTGTAGGCCTACAGAGTGGGAAAATATAAATAATTATTGGATAATAATTTCTATACATATTTTGTGTTACAATGTTGCTACTGCAACTGAACTGGCTGTGTATGCTACTTTTATCTGAAAATATTATCGGATATTATCCTCGCCACAAAACCATCCGAAATCAAGTCAGAGGACGTGAGACGTCGAGCACAACAGGGCCTGATTTGAATCGGTGCGCAGAGACCTTCCTGGCGTACTGTACTACAAAATGTACACGTTTTCTGGACATAATGCCTATCCCATCCTATTACTATACATAGTAGAATTATAAAGATATCAGCAAAGCGTAGTAAGCAACATTTGCAATTCCACACTTTTTATTTTATAGAAATGCGAACGAAATAATAACCCCCAGCCTCGGCTCTACGTCCTTCGTAACAAGCAATACGAGAGCTCAAAAAATGTGCGTGCAATGAAGTTGTATTTACAAGTATATTCAGAACCGAAGTAAAGGGCAACCTTTTGCATTTGCTGAATGGATCAAGGAAAACTGGGCGATAACTCTGATGGGGATGAGAGACATTGACTCAGAAGCTTAAGAATAATTGTTGTTACATACATGTTTAGGGTTGCTTTTAACACTACAAATGATAATTCATGCATTTATGACGTTATTGTAATAAATACACTGCTGTTTGTGAAAATTGCAACACCAAGAAGGAGACATTTACAACGAAATTTATTCCACAGATTAGGAATATCACAATATAAACATGATTAGAATTACGGCACTGTACCTGCATTTTGACCTTGTATTTAGTAGGGTTTGAAGCTGCCACACGCTGCCTACATAGCTTCTAGACGTCCTCATGCCTACTGAACTTCAGACGTGGCACGGATTCAAAGAGATCCTAGATATGCTGCCGGGGAACACACTGCCGCGCGGTTCTTATGCGTGACCACAAAACATCGATAGTGACTGCAGGAGGATCAGAACGAACAAGCTGCCGATCGATCATATCCCAGACATGTACGATGGGTAATATGTCTAGTGAAAGTGCAGGCCAGGGAAGCAGTAGTTCTTCGCAGAAATCTTGCGCATTCCTCGCCATATGCGGTCCTTGTCCTTGAATGCGGGCATTGTCCTGCTGAAATATGGCATGAGGAGCTGCTTGAAGAAGGGGCAGTTCCTCTGGTTTTAACACCTTGATGTAGCGATTGCTGTTCAGATTATCGTAATTACTTATGCGGCGAGATCGCACATTGTAGCCAATGGCGCCCCAAAATATCACACTTGGCGTTTGTCCGATATGACGCAGAACATACTAGGCTGGCAGATTGCGATCATCCCGGTAGCGTCCAACAGTATGCGGCAATCGCTGTAGCAGAAATTGAAGCGGGACTCGTCCGAAAATTATACATTATATCACTCAGCTCACTAGTGAACATGTTCACTTGTCCATTGCTGTCCAAGGAGTTGGTGGTTTTAGTCCAACGGAATCCGACGCAGTAGTATTCGTGCCACCAGTCCAGCCCTCATCCAACGACGTCGAACATGCGTACCACCAGTCCTGCGGCATCGAACCGTGAACGCAGACATGACCACACCCGTTGCAGTGCTCCAAAGTCGAGCCAACACTTTAGAGGACGCCGTTCTGTCGGTTAGGCCATGCGGACAAGATGGCGCTCATCTCGCGCTGTGGTCACATTCTGTGGTCCAGTACCCGCTCGTCACTGTGACTACTCCCCTCTCTCCACTGGTTCCACACACTGTCGTAGCAGCGTGCTCCGTTCGAGCCGGATTTCACGGTACGACAAACCCGCTTCCCGGAGACTGATCATTCTGTCCCGTTCGAACTCACTCAGATGCTGATGTACTCTGGCGTCGACGAGGTATCCCGGCACTAGCTTGCACGTTTCCCCGTCGTTTGGCGGATCTACACCGATTGCGTTTGGCGTAACACTGACCTGACTTGTCATACAAAGGAGGGCGCTGCTAGGCACACCAACGTGCACACCATCTCAATTCAAATTTAATCACTTCTTATGAATACATTGTTCTATACCTCCACCGATTTTTAAGGGATTTAGAGCATACCTTCTAGGTGTTGCAATTTTCACAAACAACAGTGTATATCCATTTTTAATGGATACTAATGATATTAGCTGTGTCCCTTTGGAATATAAGAAGAGGAAAGAGGAGAAGGAGAAAAAGAAGAGGGGAAGAAGGACTATATTTATTTAATTCAAAATTGTGTATTCTGTATTCTTTTAAAGAATAATTTATTCTGCATATTATTTTACACTCACAACGCGCCATTAGAGTGGTGCCCCTACAATTAGTCACACCTAATGATGATTGAACTCAGTGGCAATTCAATTATATACATCTACTCTACATTACCGTTCAATACGAATGCTACGGAAAGAGGCGATTCAGTAACAATTATAATCCATCATCGGGACAAAATCTATAAAAATTCTACTCTTAGATACGATGGGCTTGCTTCCCAGAAGTGAAGCAAACTCATTTAAGACAAAAATAAACATTGCTGCTGTTAAAACACGAATTTGTTGGTTCCTAAGTTTCATACTTCCCACTGAGAACAACGGTCTTGAGGGCAGATGCGTGGGATTAGTTTCGATCAATAAATTTAATTCCGATATCGGTAGAAAATTAATTCCGAGAACGGTAGAAAATTAATTCAGATAACGGTATACAATTTATTCCGATAACGGTAGAAAAATTCCCACTAAAACAGTTGAAACCTCAATTCGATAACGCGTGCTAGAAATATAAATCCATAAATGTAGTAGGTCTGAAGTAACTTTTCATATCATTTGAAAGAACCGAATGATGAATTTCCGTAAGGAAAGAATATTGTTTGTATGAAAACGAAAATTGTTTTGTGGTATTGCAAATGCTAGGTTCAAGACCTTAAAAATGGCTGTGGCACCATCAGAAAGAAATATGTGTTTTATTAGTGTCTTTATTGTGCCTTATCTAATAAACCTTCAGCAGTCGGGCAGCTCGATTTATATATGTATATCTGTTACCATATTTAGAAGATGTTCGGTATTTGTACCAAAAGATGCGCAATATTTTGTACAGTTAAATTCATTCAATAAGTCAGTTTCGCCTAATAGCGGAATTGACCGGGTTTTGCGCAGAGCTCAAGTCATTTTTTTTTATATCAAGCAGTTGAGTATTTTATAATTGATTGTGCTGCCCGCCCTGCCGGGAGCTTTCTCTCACTCGGTTTACAGTATGAGGTGCTGATCGTTGACCTGGAGGTCTTGCCTTATTTCGTGCTGATTGTAGTAGCAGAGGACCGCCACGGGGTCGCTGGCGTTCACTAGTCCTATAATGTGTGGTGCTGCTCGTTCTTCAGAAGGCCTTGCTTCCGTTCGGACTCACCGCTTCCTGCAGTAGCAGAGGGCCACCGCTCGGTCGCTGGCTGCCGAATGGCTCGCTGCGTTCAACAGCGAGCGGGCGACAACTAGACCCATCTCTGCGTGCAATGCCTTCCATACCCTCTTCCGCCCAAGAGGAGTAATGAGGAGGTGTTGTGAATCAGGCCAACCCACTCGCTGCAGGCAACAGCCGTCCTCTGCTAGAGTTAAGTGATCAAATCCCGAGAAAGGAATGGACATTTTCTTCTCGGATTGGGGCATGGAAAATCATGGAAACTCACAATGGATTAAAGTGTAGACGAAGACAATCTCTCGTGTTATCTCCAAGCAACTATTTTAATGTTTCACTCTTAGTGATACACAACCATCTCCAAGTACTCTGTAAATGAATATTATAGCAATATCAAGTATTCATAATATGATGTTTATTCATATTGAATCGATTCAAGTCTGTGGTGTCACAGGGGAAATTACGTTGGAAATATGTTCCACAACAGTAAATTCATCCAAGATATGATCTTCTTACTGAGTAACCTAAGTGTTTTAATAATTGAATTTGTTAAATGAATTGTCACCCTGTCCGGGACTCGAAGATGGGCAGCCTGATTTACGCTCATTTGCTCTCATCTCTGAGCTGTCGAGACGACTATTATTTGAACTATTTTAGGTGACAGCGAGTTTTCGATTCCAGATCGGGGTGACCATTTATTAAACAAATTGAAATTTTAGATGTTTATCATTAGTCATCTTGTAAGTATCCGGAAAAGGGAATACTCTATTGCTAACATTCTGGTAGGAAAATGGTACTCGACGAAAACAAGCTGGACAGATAAGACACGGACGATCATCTTAGCGATTCAGCTGTAGAAGAGAGAAAATTAAACACTCCTAAGTGAAACTTCGAGATCAATTTCTATCTTCCAACCGTCGTCAGAACAATCATATATAATTGTATCCTTCAGTTCCCTAAAAAGTTTCTGCCTGGGGAGGTGGACAAAGTAGCAAGTAGTAGAGAAACGCTTAGTACATAGTAATCTAACGTAACCTTTAGCATTCCAGAACGTCTGTCATGCTGGTGTCCAAACTGGGAGATTCGTACTTATAAAGTTGTGACATTGAGAAAAATTTCTTCGTGTTAATGATTTGTAATTTAGAAACATTCCTTAGGTTCTTAAGGGAATTAGGAGCCCTGGTAAAGTATTATCTTGACCACAGAAGGTATTGGGAGTATGTGTACGCCAACATGATTGCCTCCATCGGATCTTTGCGTCTTCACGGCACCACTGGTAACATCGCTGCCGCCATCATCTCCTCTAGAGCCCTCGGTCCCTCGAGTCA